TTGGGAGAACAGACCTTATGATCGAATGGGGGAACTAAAATTATTTAAGCAAATTAAGCTGGATTTATACAGCAAATAAAATAAAATAAGATAAAATAAGAAATAGGAAATAAGAAATATCAGTTAACCTCATGAGATACCCTTAAAGTGTTTATACAGAAAATAACAAATAAAATAAGAAATGCATTAACCGAGGCATTTCTTATTTTATCTTAAATCTTATTTTATTTAATTTGCTGTATAAATCCAGCTTTACAATTATGTAGAAAGACACTAGATAGCCATCAAGGATTAAGAGAGAAATATTTTAGAAAGTACTATTAGTTGACGGTCACGAATCAAGAAGTTTCATTCAGTGAAAATAAGGGGAAATTGTAAGTACATGTCGGAAATTGAGACTAGTATTTACCTTGCCCATCTAATTCCTCAGCGAAAACATTTAAATCCAGATCCTTTAGCCTTTCGGAAGTTTCTAGAATCTCCTCCATTTTCCTGTAAGTTTCAGGACTTACTCTGGAACCATCCAGAACTTCCACGTAGATCTCAAGCTGTTTGTATATTGAATTATGCAAAAAGAAATATACATTTTAAGCATCATAAATCTGTTTTAAACTCTGATCCCCATAACGGCACGCTCATTAAACAAAACTACTTGAAACCAATTTCCTGTTTTCCTGTACATTCATGTCAGATTTCCATATTTTACGCAAAATGTTTTATATTGTCCCTAAATTAACTGCAATTATTCTCAAGCCCGGGATATAGCGAGTACATTAGAGCTGGTTCATTATAAAACCCACACCCTAATTATTTTCCTAGGCCATAGAGAGAGGGCAACAATGTGAAATATTTAACGGTGGAAAAAGGGAATTGTTGTCCAACAGCCCTAGAAGTTTTCAATACCATTGATTTGCCAGCAAACTACCCAGATTCTGAGATGATTCACATCTGAAATAAATCTATTGCTTTTGTTAAAGGAAAATCCAATAAACGATTCTATTATTTGCTTTTTCTAGGGCACACTTTATCAACTTTGTTCTCTTTATGTGTTATTTGTTTTTCTATTCACTTTAGACTAATTGTGTTTGAAAATGTCCAATCTAAATTATTTATAGAGTGATTTAAATTTCTATGCTGCCTGGCGTTTTCATTTTGATTTGTTAATTATTATTAAAACACCACTAGTCGAGTTTTTCAATTCTGTCTATATTATCAGGATATATTTGCACTTTATTTATATTTCATTTCTAATAGCAAAATTGACGTAACAGATTCCTTCCTTTGGTGAAAAGCTCTGAAATATTTTTATGAAATCGCTCCAATGATTGGGTGCAAACTATATTGTGTCAATTCTGCAGGGAAATTCTCACCGAACCCTCGAGGAGTATCAATTATTTCTAGGATTTCACCAAATTAGAATTGCTACAATTTTGTTTATAGAAGTATAGTTCGTTCAGGGCAAAAGCAAATTTCACTCGTACAAACTTTGTACTGTGTAGGTCAGGTGGTTTTCAATTATGAATATAGTTTGGTGGAAGTTAGTTTATGAATTAAAGTTCATACATTGTGGGTCGAGTCGTAAATATTCTAACAATAGTTTATTTATGTACTTTGTCTTGTGGAATTGTTTTTACTTGCTGCTGCTGCTACTAAGAGTTTTATTATTTTCAAGGGCAATGTGAGTTGTGGAGAATTATTAACCTTTACTGAAATAGTTGGAATTTTGATGGGAAAAAAGGTTGCACCGTCAAGGTAGTTTTAGAAAAATGTATTCTTTAGTTTTTAAGGAAATATGTGTATCATATCCAAAAATGTTCTGCAGATACTTAGAAAATATTAGTTTCAAAGACTTTAGAGCCTCAAAACACAAACAAAAAATTTATTTTAATGGGGTTCCTTTCACTCAAAGTCCTTTTTCATTCTAAAAAGATAAAAGAGGAAATTGTAAAAGAATCTAGATGTACCTTTTCATCTTGTATCACTTTGAAGATACCTAAATTCTCCCCAAATAATATATGATTTTTTTATGTAAGTAATCCTAAGACACAATAATCACGATCTCACATAAAATCCTATTGAGCCATTATAGTTTGAAATTCGAGCTGAAAACAATAAAAAGACGCCTGCGATGTGAAAATGTATGTTTTATCCGCAGACATTTTCATTCAAAATTCAAATGCTGTAAGATATTAACCACAAAATTGATATGAAGCCATCAAACTACAAATCCGCAATTTATCATTAGTTACGATGTTTCCAGTCTGAATAGAAATTCTAGTTTAGATGCAATTTCCAGTTTATCATGTGTCTTTAAGTATTAAATCTGATTTTTGAATTTTCTCCTCAAGGTGCCTTATTCATTTTATTGTCATTGCCCATTGGTACAAATTGCATGGGAAATTGCGAAATTTTATTAGAATCGTAAACTGTACAGAACAAGGCGGCTAAATTGATTTCATGAAAGCTCGGATAGCTCTACAAAAGTTATTATTTCTACAAGAGTTTGTAGGATTCTAAAAAAGGTAGAATTACCGGTGCTTGAATGGAAATTATTGAAAATCATAACAATAATAATCTCTGAAAATGTTGAATTTTTCTATCGAAAATTAGTTGCAATTAAGTTTTACATTATTTCAAAAAGGAATAGTTTTATGAGAAAAAAAAAATTCAAAAGAAAATTTCAATTTTGACATCAGAAATGTTCTTATAGCCTCACATGGGCTCAAAAATATGCTCACAGTTTTGACAATTTTCAAGGAATGAATTCTCTATAAGACATCCAAAAACAGAGTTAATTGATTTCATAGACTTTGAGAAATAGGGCTTCAAACATGACACAAATAATAACCGATCTATTTCGAATGCATCAGGTGCTATATTGCTGGTTTCAGCATAAATTATACGTACAGATAGATACATAATATATCATTGTGTTGCTACTAATATGCTTATTTACGCTAGCTTATAATTTGATTTGTCTTAGTATAACTCATTGAATTATCTAGTACTTAATCCCTTGTCAATATTATCATTTTCGGTCCATTGACTTTGTTTGTCATCGCAATACAACGTACGGTAAATGTGAATAGAGCAAACCTATTGTGCGGGAATACGAAAGGTATTTTTGAAAACAATGGGTAATTGTGAATGAGGCTTGATATATTTTAATTTGCGTTGAGTTGGTTTATAGTCGAGATAGAAAGGTTTGTCTACGAATGTTTTCAAAATAGTTATTTATGATATAAGTGTTAAAAGTACATTTTTAAGGCACGCATGTGAAAGTTTGCAGAATGAGCGAAGCGAATTCTGCAATTCACATAAGTGCCTTAAAAATACTTTTAACACAAATATCATACAATATTTTTTTCTACAAACGGCAATAAAAAGCAATAACCACTAACAAATTGGATTTTTAAATGAATAATAAATTGGAAGCATCTTTCCTACATAAAATTCTTGAATTTGACATTTGTCAAAAAATCCATACAACCAGCACCTTGTTTTACAGGTAACGAAATGTCTTGTCAGTTTCTTGAAAGTCTTTCGTGGTCAGGAATGCTTTTTGCTAAAAATGCAACAAGATACAGAAGAAAAAGAGGGTTGCATCGATCCTTCGAAAAATATAGATGAGGCGGCCAATCGGGCTACCTCAGTTGTTCAAATTTCACCATTAATATCAATGTAAATAACTGAAAATACAAACTTTTTTTGACGTCCGCTCTCAAAATTTGATGTTTCACTTTTAACACTAGTGCTATAAAGACTTTATGGCACTAGTGCGATAAAGTAACATTTTTAATGCTTCGGGGCGGTGTTAAAAATTGCATTTTTAACACGTTTGTAGAAAAACAGTATTTATTCGTAGTTTCTATGAATTTCTGATAGAGATTTTAGTTCAAAGGTCTTTAGAGAGCTTGGAGAAAATCAAAAACATATAGGTACGCACTTTACAAAAATATAATTTCGGTGTAGTTATTTTGAAATCAGGAAAATATCCTCTTTGAATTTGAATCATGAAAATCCTATTCCCGGCACTCCTAAAGACAAAGCTGATTCGGAAAAGTTAAATTTTGATAATTTCAGAGAAATTCAACTTTAAAAGACATAATCCCGCTCTCTTTTGGCTGGATTTGTAACATATCGACCAATAAGAAATTTTCAAAATTATATTTCAAATTCTTTGCCAAATCAATTTATCATTTCCAAAATAAATTGTTCAGATTCCAAACATTTTTACAGCAATCGAACCATTCTAGGTTGTAAATTTTATCTTTTTTGAACGGTCTATACATGAGAAAAATTCTAGTCAAATTATGATCCAGTTATCCAGAAAACAAAGCATTTCCAGACACAAAAAAAAGGGTTTTGTATTAGTAATCTTGGTATGAAATCTCTCTCAAATATAGAGGATTTTCCTTGACCGAAAAGTTTAGATTTCTTTCTATTATATTGGTTATTCTCAACAAACAACAATCATTGATACAATATTATTCATCCAAATGATAAATCCATCATTCCTGTCCCAACATCGGGCTTAATTAAGCAACAAATCGGCCGGACAAAGCGAAATCGGCCGGTATAACAACACCCTTATCGCGTCGATACGAATCCGGCCCTTATTTATTGGCCCTTATAGACTCCAATAATTTGAATAGAGAGATAGTTTGACGTTTTAATGGGCAGTTTGGCTTTGCGCCAAATAATTTGAAACTCTTAGCCTGAATCAGTCTACAAAATGTCGCAATGTTTATTATCAAGAGGACTTTCCATTGAACTATGTATATTGCAAAAAATTTCAGTTATCGTAAATGACCTAATAGGTAACTTCCCTACTCCATATGACGTGGAACCAATGGGAGCATTTTCATTCGCAAGAGTGGATTTTGATAAACGGATTTTTATTTTCACGTATATACGATCGAGTGGAGCCAAAATGAAAAAAGTTGGAAACACTTCAAGCCTTTTATTGAAAAACTATAATATAATTTTGTTATTTCCAGAAAGAGTGAAATTCAAAAGCGATTTGATTGTGTGGCCGATCGCTTCAGGCACCCGAAAACCAATCGAAAGATCACTCGGATGTTTAGTAAACTGCCATTTTCATGGTGGAAAACACTGGTACATTGACGTGCAGGGATGGGCTGGCTTATGTTGTTGGCAGTAGTGCTGGCCCTACTCAAATTATTAGGTAAGAAGACACTTTCGATTTTATATTATATAAAACAATTTTCTTTTGAAGGAGTTACACAAGGTACCACTGCTCAGCCGGGTCAAGTACCACCTCAACTCAGTACTCCGTCGCCTATTCCGGGACTACCCGGAGGCGGAATCGGAGGTATCAGAAGAACGAGCGGCTGGAGAGAATGGAGACGAGCGGATCCGACTCTGATCAACAGTTTGTGGCGGAGCAAGATGGGGAACGGGATCAGAAAACAATTAGGTAGGATTTTGTGATTGGATAATCAAAATTGCAATTATAGAGCCCAACATCTTCAAAATAATCCCCACATCTCCAAAATTACCCATTATAAGTTCAAAAAAGTGTCAAACGATTGTAAATTTTGGGTTGATTAACACATATTACTGAGCCCTCATGTTTTGATATTTCGGAAATTCCGAAGATATTCATAAAAAACCGAATTTTGCCGGAATCTCTTTTGGCGCCTAATATACCATCTATTGCACCTGGTGTCATGAATGTCGGACCGGCTAGCACTTTATATTTCCGACTGTCTACTGTCTATACTGTCTATGTGTAGGTGTCGCTTTGGCATGCATTGAATTACAGTGGCTAAATAAACCTTTACATACAGTGGCGACAATAGAGTTCCCGCCGCCATCTTGTTCCCAACCTCTTGTTACTTTCAAATATTAATATATAAGATTTAAATAGACATCTATCATAAAAAATTAAAATCGGCATATTTGATGACCATTATTAGGTTCATCAAATACGTTGTTTTCCATGTTTTATGATGGATGTTCACCTAAATCCTATATATTCATATTTAAAAGTAACAACTGTACATTGAATGAGTTTCGGAAGGATAATCATGTTGACATCCATGGAGAATGCGCTCATAAATCGCGGATTGATCTATGGTTCAATGGACCATTTAGAGACTTTTGGTTCGCCGACATTAATTCCTGAAATTTGTGGTCTTATGTTGTGTGGTCGCTGTCCCAGTGGATTTGCAGCTTCTTCGGTAATAATGAATATCTGTGACCCTTGGTTAATAAGAATCCTCATCAGGATTTGAGGGGAACTATATTTATTTCTACTAGTGCTGTAACGAGTAAAACGTTTTCTTCATTTCTACTGGCGTGGTTACACATGGCATGGCGTCTCTTGATGGATATTGTTCAAGTCTTCTTGATGGTGGGTGTCATTGAGAATTTTGCAGTGGAGTAACTGTCGGCTTGTCTTGGTAGTTGGGCTGCTTGTTAGAATTTTGTTGCTGCCTGTCCATATGAAGAAGCGTGTGGAGCTGATTACTGCAGATGCTATATTTTTTATGGCTGATATATCTATTATTGATATCATGGCTGAGACAGTTGTAGCAGATAGATATTCTTTTCTGTTCTGAATTTCTAACAGTGGTACGTCATGTGTGGATAGTGGCGTGTGGTACTTTCATGAATTCTGTCAACTCTGGAGCATCGTGAGGCTTCTTAAGACTTTGCTCATACAGGCGGTTAGTTTTCGAGTTCAAGTTTCTGATTGTCATTCAGATTATTATGGCAACTCTGACATCTAAAGTTTTTCGTGCTTGTAGACACTCGCTGGTGACGTCATGCTGGATGCAGCTGCTTTAGTTTCTCAGCGATCTTCCTTGAGATTTCTGGTGGATATAGTAGCTTGTCTAAAAGATTAAATATTTTGTTTTCGTACTGCTTTTGAAGTAGATCCCATGCTGAATCGTAGTTGGTTGCAATTGCTTTTAAGTGTTGAATTAGTTTGCTCCCCTGGAAGTGCACCTTGTCGGCTTTGATCAATGCTGAGTTTTCATGGATGACTCTTCTGAAATTGTCAAAGAATGTAGACTAGTTTTCATACTCCTCATGAAAAATTGGAATTTGTAATTTCGGTAGCTGGAGGTTCTGTTGTGGTTGAGTCACTAGTATTTGGTGAGTTGTAGTGACGACATTCTGCTGATGGATTTTTGCCGCTAACTCTTCAATGACATCATCGTATTGGCTCTAGACTTCTTTGTACAAGTCTTAGATGAAGTATACTTATCTTGATGGTTATTTTCACATACAGCGTTTTTTTCGTGCAGGTTTTAAATTACATCCCATTATGTCTTGCTCGATCCCATCAAATGTTTATACCGAAATTTTGATTTGTCTAACATTAGTTTCCACTTTAATTAGGGTCTGGCGTCTTCCAATTGCTGTATCTTAAACTTTTGCGTTTTTATCCTAAAATTTTATTATATTTGGAATATCTAAGCTACGATTTTCCAAGTGTAAAGATTCATAAATTATCCGAAAACAAAAATTTTCCAAAAGGTGGCTCATCAAAACAACAATGCCCTTAGGATTTACTTTGAAAGGGCCCCGAATCCATTACGGCGCCCGCCTTTCTTGGATTCTTTAAAATAATGGAGTCATTTTCGCTCTGACAAATTTTCATTGAAAGGAGGCGTCCAGAGATTACTTCCCTGGCGAATGATGGCTAATTAGTCATTAATTTAATTCGAGCGACGATTTTTAATGAAATGTGTATCATAAAAGCCGAAATTGTACTACACACCGCTAAATAATTCAAGCAAACGTTTCTTGGTTCTACCTTTTATAGTTTTATCCTACTTTCTTTGACTTTTAGCTGCTTTGAATAAAACAGCTCCAGCCTGAAAGTTTGGACTTGAAATTTAATATTTTACCGAGGTTGCTTCTTCCTCTCACGATTTCCTTGTTCCTGGAGAATGGACATTTTGTTGCAACTTCGCATTTATACAGACAGCTTTTAATTATTTAATGATTCAAGTAAATTTGCCGTGACGTGGATGGAAAATAAAAAAAAAGGCACCTTATTATAAATACAATCACACAATTTTCTAATTAAAAAAGCTTCCAACTTTTAATTAATTTGTAGTTTATTGCATTTCAGGTTTAGATCCATACAAACTTGCCCTTTAAGCGAGCGGCATCGAAAAGTCCCAAACTTTAATTAAAAATTAGTAGCAGATTTTTTAATTTTCTTTCTAGTGGCTTTTGAGAAACTTGCCAGCTGCAATTGAAAGCTTTTATAAGAAAACTAAATCGACAATTGGTCAAAAAAACATAAAAAATCCGCAAAATCTTATTTTTCTAGACTGGTTGCTTTATCGATGAAAATTTACATGCCAAATGAACATAGTTTAGTTATTTATATTTTGGACAAAGTCTTGGACTGTTTTTATTTGTCTCGGACTTTTATTGTGAGCAAATTCCTAGTAAATCTTCAAACAGTAGTGAAAATGTGTCTTTTCGAGTCGTATTATTTCGATTTCGTATGTCGGATTCGCTCGGGGAGTAATAAATCAAATGAATTTATAGGCCGCAGCGGGAGATTTTTTTCCTGGGGTTCTAAAATAAAATCATTCGATTTATGGGTGTGAATCACAGAAACATATTTTGTACCCTAATTTCTCAGATTGACATAGTTCTCCTTCAAAAAGTTTCACAATTTTTCTATTCCAGACTCTTGAAATTTTTGCTAATATTTGCGGTAATTTTCATCACACTTAAAAAATAATAGCAGGGTTATTTTAAATTGAATCTCTATTAAATTTCAGTGAATTCTAGCTACAGTCCTAGAAAATCAAGAAAAAAATATTAACTTGCTCCACAGCTAACAGTTTTTCCAGGAAAAATTCAAACTTCTGGTGTTGAGCCATTTGAAGGTTTTTGCATAGGTACTCTGTAACCATCACATTTAAAAAATTGTAGCAAAGTTATTTTGGATTGAATCTTCATCAAATTTTAGTGTAGTCTAGTTAAAGCCCTAGCAAATCAAGAAAAAAATATTGAGTTGCTCTACAAGGAACAATTTTTTCAGGAAAAATTCAAAACCTTGATGTTGGGCCATTTGAAGGTTATTGCATACTTTGTAGCCATCACACTTAGACAATCGTACTTGAGCTATTTTTTATTAAGTTATCATAAAATTTCAGTGTAGTTAGTCTAGCTAAAGTCCTAGCAAATCAGGAAAAAACTATTAAGTTGCTCTTCAAGCAACAGTTTTCCTAGGAAAAATTCAAAATCCTGATGTTGGTCATTTGGAAGTTTTTGCATTGCAAAACTGGTCGATGAATAATATAATTTTTGCTTCAGGAAACGCCGAAGTCTACATAATCCTAGCCTTGCTCATAGGCGTCGTGACGGTAGTGATCGGCTGCTGGCTGTCCGACAACTGTTGGTCTCCCGATCCGGAAACGGGCGTCGTGACGGTGGCCTGACCTCAGCCCAGAGGTCCTCCGGGACACGGAGGACCCAGGGACCCGCGCGACGGCGGCGTCGTAGTCGTGGACGTCTCTTCAGCGGACGAGGAAGAGGGAAATTCGTCACCTGGGGACCGGTCTTCCAGTCCCGAGAGCGATTGGCCTCTTGTAGAGGTAAGAATCTGAACTTATTAATCATCCAAACCCTATACTGTGCCAACCAACGTAAGTCCATTTGTTTAGGAATAGTCACAAATTTGAAATTATTATTGCAATCTTGTCCTTAATCCCTTTGTAATCTACAAACTGAGATATTATAGTTAGGCAAAGGTAACTAGATACGGTAGTCAAACAAAATTCTGTTTTTCTAGGTATCAGAAAGAGACGTTCTCAATCCCTGACACCACGCCCTGTGCGAAAAGAACGGTTCCGTCATCATGGGTGACCCGAACGACCACCATTTGGATTTGCCGGAAGAGTGCGAGCTGCACAAATCGTCGCCGATAATGGAAAACGGCCACGTGTGCCATCAAATGGACGCGTGCGAAGTGCACGACACCATGAACAACGGTGCCACCATTCTCACTATGTTCGACGATGCCGACATGGAGAGCTGAGAATTAATTTCCGATTAGGTTGCCCTTACCATGAGTGATAAAGTAGACCTTTTAGTACTCACTAATTGTAGGTAGGTACTCATTTATGTATGCAACCAGATTCTCTAAATGAGTACCTACTATCTTAGAAAGTCTTCAATGTTGCTAAGATTATCTAAGAGTAAAAAAAAAAGTCAATTACCCTATTTAGGTGGACGCATCCACCCACACACCCCCATATGTGTGCTTTTTTTTTGTAATATAAATTTTACATTTACCAAAAAAAAAAAATGCTCAACAAATATGCATTTTTTTTATATTACTGACTCTATACTATTCCTGACTGGTTAGCTGATAAATTTAGTAAATGTACCTACCACTCTATATAGTACCTTTTAGGTCATATCAAAACAATTTGCCTTTTTCTAGCTGTGCCTATTTTCCTCTCTAGTTGTACATAGTTTTATATATTGCTTTTTTTTTCCTTGTAAATTGATTGTATATTAGGCATATAAAGACTGACTTTGAGTTTTGAACCTATACAAATTGCATTACAATAGTTTAAGTTTCCTCTGATTATATTATAAAAATAACTGATATTATTATAAACCCCATTACTTTTAGATACCAAGAAAATCTGTTTAGTATTATTAGCAAAAATAAATGGAACAATTAGATTTAGATAGATAATTATTTCAGAGGGCTCTGTGATAAAGTGAATTTTGTGTAACTGGATATATAATTCACAGACAGAGCCTTAATAATTCAAGTTTACTAAATTGTAAATATTATAAAATATACCTAATCATGCTACTTATGTATAAAAATTTTGTGTTTAAAACTCAGAAAAACGTTTTGAATTGGTGCTTATCCTAACATAGATAGCTGAAAGTGTATTAGGGATCAAAAAATATTACAATTTAAACTAATCTAAATATTGTGTAATGGATGTGTGTGTCGATTATATAGTAAATAAACCAAAAAAAATCATTGCAACGATATTTGTACCAAATAAATTTTATTGTGTAAAACCTACCCGAAAATATATTGTGTGTAAAATAGATGTGTGTTTTCCATTATTTATCAAAGAATTCAATTGGACAAAAATTCACACAATCATTGGCGGCTCGTCAGAAGAGGCAGGGAAGGCCTCCCCCAAATAATTGAAAATTCAATCTCAGTTTTTTATTCCTGATTCTTTATTAAAATAATAATTCAAAAATTACTCTTTCCAAATTTCGTTATTTCAATGTAATTTAGAAAAATTTGACATTATTTCAATCAACCCCGCGCCTCTACGACAAAAATCTGTAAATCTGAGATACTCAGTAATACGAGCCCGAAGGGCCAGAGTTATACGCAAGCTTAAAGGGCCGGAGTAATACGAACCCCAAGGTCCTGAGTTATACGCGAGCGCGAAGGGCTAGAGTTATTTTAATCACGGGGCCCAGTCTATAATTCTATTGGTCAGCGGATAATTTGGAGCCAATCAAAAATCGGGAATATCCAAAATGTGATTTTTAGTCGATATTCCAAATTTCAGTTCTCTCAGTTGTACCGGAAAAAAGTTAGCCTCTCTATCTTTCTTGATTTTGATTTTTTTTTTCTGAATTTCCAAAAAAAAAAATACCATCGGATAAAAGAGCAAAAAAAACGTTAAAAAGCTTATGGGACCCTGCTTGCTATGACGCATTTTAAGTCCAAAAAAATAAAATAAAAAAGGATATTTCGATTTTGGCCAAATAAAAATTTCGGCGATCTGACACGACGTTACTTTTTCGCTTATAGCTCCGCTATTTCTCAACAGTCAACTGATCGTTCCGAGTATATCTCTTTTGAAAGAGAATGAAATTACCTATAAATATTTTTTTATTCAGATTCCAGGCCGTTTTCGTCTTTGGGATATTAGCCGTCAAAGTTGAAATTTGTTGTAATTTTGTTGATAAGATCCATTTAAACAATTTAAAATAGTTTACAAGTCTTACAATTAATTCGAAGTGTGGAAAAATGGTTTTTAACTAATTAGAGACCCATCTAAACCATTTAATAGTATTTTACATTATTAGCCAGGTAATTCTTCAAATCTGAGAATAATTTTGTGTATGGAGTTTGGGGTATGTTGATCGACCATTAGGATACAAAATCTCGACAAAAAAAAATTTGAAATTTCATCGTTTTGATAAGAAGGTACCCCCCTATGATTTTTTTGGAAAATTTTGAAAGGTCATAACTTTTTTTCTATTATAGATAGAAAGCTGAATCCTTCACTGAAAATTATCCTTTTCAAAGGACTACAATCCCTGAAAATTTCAGCTCATTGACACTTATAGTTCCTGAGATAAAATCGTGCTAAGCAATTGTGGTGATTTATCAATTTTTCAATTTTTCTGAGTGCCTTTTTTCATAGATTTTGGCTTCAAATCTGAGAATAATTTAGTTTATGGAGTTCAGGGTATCACGAGGGACCATTAGGACACAAAATCTCGACAAAAAAAAAATTGAAATTTCATCGTTTTAGTAGGAAGGAACCCCCCTTATGATTTTTTTGGAAAATTTTGAAAAGTCATAACTTTTTTTCTATTATAGATAGAAAGCTGAATCTTTCACTGAAAATTATCCTTTTCAAAGGACTACAATCCCTGAAAATTTCAGCTCATTGACACTTATAGTTCCTGAGATAAAATCGTGCTAAGCAATTGTGGTGATTTATCAATTTTTCAATTTTTCTGAGTGCCTTTTTTCATAGATTTTGGCTTCAAATCTGAGAATAATTTAGTTTATGGAGTTCAGGGTATCACGAGGGACCATTAGGACACAAAATCTCGACAAAAAAAAATTTGAAATTTCATCGTTTTGGTAGGAAGGTACCCCCCTTATGATTTTTTTGGAAAATTTTGAAAAGTCATAACTTTTTTCTATTATAGATAGAAAGCTGAATCTTTCACTGAAAATTATCCTTTTCAAAGGACTACAATCCCTGAAAATTTCAGCTCATTGACACTTATAGTTCCTGAGATAAAATCGTCCTAAGCAATTGTGGTGATTTATCAATTTTTCAATTTTTCTGAGTGCCTTTTTTCATAGATTTTGGCTTCAAATCTGAGAATAATTTAGTTTATGGAGTTCAGGGTATCACGAGGGACCATTTGGACACAAAATCTCGACAAACATTTTTTTGAAATTTCATCGTTTTAGTAGGAAGGTACCCCCTTATGATTTTTTTGGAAAATTTTGAAAAGTCATAACTTTTTTTCTATTATAGATAGAAAGCTGAATCTTTCACTGAAAATTATCCTTTTCAAAGGACTACAATCCCTGAAAATTTCAGCTCATTGACACTTATAGTTCCTGAGATAAAATCGTCCTAAGCAATTGTGGTGATTTATCAATTTTTCAATTTTTCTGAGTGCCTTTTTTCATAGATTTTGGCTTCAAATCTGAGAATAATTTAGTTTATGGAGTTCAGGGTATCACGAGGGACCATTTGGACACAAAATCTCGACAAACATTTTTTTGAAATTTCATCGTTTTAGTAGGAAGGTACCCCCTTATGATTTTTTTGGAAAATTTTGAAAAGTCATAACTTTTTTTCTATTATAGATAGAAAGCTGAATCTTTCACTGAAAATTATCCTTTTCAAAGGACTACAATCCCTGAAAATTTCAGCTCATTGACACTTATAGTTCCTGAGATAAAATCGTCCTAAGCAATTGTGGTGATTTATCAATTTTTCAATTTTTCTGAGTGCCTTTTTTCATAGATTTTGGCTTCAAATCTGAGAATAATTTAGTTTATGGAGTTCAGGGTATCACGAGGGACCATTTGGACACAAAATCTCGACAAACATTTTTTTGAAATTTCATCGTTTTAGTAGGAAGGTACCCCCTTATGATTTTTTTGGAAAATTTTGAAAAGTCATAACTTTTTTTCTATTATAGATAGAAAGCTGAATCTTTCACTGAAAATTATCCTTTTCAAAGGACTACAATCCCTGAAAATTTCAGCTCATTGACACTTATAGTTCCTGAGATAAAATCGTCCTAAGCAATTGTGGTGATTTATCAATTTTTCAATTTTTCTGAGTGCCTTTTTTCATAGATTTTGGCTTCAAATCTGAGAATAATTTAGTTTATGGAGTTCAGGGTATCACGAGGGACCATTTGGACACAAAATCTCGACAAACATTTTTTTGAAATTTCATCGTTTTAGTAGGAAGGTACCCCCTTATGATTTTTTTGGAAAATTTTGAAAAGTCATAACTTTTTTTCTATTATAGATAGAAAGCTGAATCTTTCACTGAAAATTATCCTTTTCAAAGGACTACAATCCCTGAAAATTTCAGCTCATTGACACTTATAGTTCCTGAGATAAAATCGTCCTAAGCAATTGTGGTGATTTATCAATTTTTCAATTTTTCTGAGTGCCTTTTTTCATAGATTTTGGCTTCAAATCTGAGAATAATTTAGTTTATGGAGTTCAGGGTATAACGAGGGACCATTAGGACACAAAATCTCGACAAAAAAAAATTTGAAATTTCATCGTTTTAGTAGGAAGGTACCCCCCTTATGATTTTTTTGGAAAATTTTGAAAAGTCATAACTTTTTTTCTATTATAGATAGAAAGCTGAATCTTTCACTGAAAATTATCCTTTTCAAAGGACTACAATCCCTGAAAATTTCAGCTCATTGACACTTATAGTTCCTGAGATAAAATCGTGCTAAGCAATTGTGGTGATTTATCAATTTTTCAATTTTTCTGAGTGCCTTTTTTCATAGATTTTGGCTTCAAATCTGAGAATAATTTAGTTTATGGAGTTCAGGGTATCACGAGGGACCATTAGGACACAAAATCTCGACAAAAAAAAATTTGAAATTTCATCGTTTTAGTAGGAAGGTACCCCCCTTATGATTTTTTCGGAAAATTTTGAAAAGTCATAACTTTTTTTCTATTATAGATAGAAAGCTGAATCTTTCACTGAAAATTATCCTTTTCAAAGGACTACAATCCCTGAAAATTTCAGCTCATTGACACTTATAGTTCCTGAGATAAAATCGTGCTAAGCAATTGTGGTGATTTATCAATTTTTCAATTTTTCTGAGTGCCTTTTTTCATAGATTTTGGCTTCAAATCTGAGAATAATTTAGTTTATGGAGTTCAGGGTATAACGAGGGACCATTAGGACACAAAATCTCGACAAAAAAAAATTTGAAATTTCATCGTTTTAGTAGGAAGGTACCCCCCTTATGATTTTTTTGGAAAATTTTGAAAAGTCATAACTTTTTTTCTATTATAGATAGAAAGCTGAATCTTTCACTGAAAATTATCCTTTTCAAAGGACTACAATCCCTGAAAATTTCAGCTCATTGACACTTATAGTTCCTGAGATAAAATCGTGCTAAGCAATTGTGGTGATTTATCAATTTTTCAATTTTTCTGAGTGCCTTTTTTCATAGATTTTGGCTTCAAATCTGAGAATAATTTAGTTTATGGAGTTCAGGGTATAACGAGGGGACCATTAGGACACAAAATCTCGACAAAAAAAAATTTGAAATTTCATCGTTTTAGTAGGAAGGTACCCCCCTTATGATTTTTTCGGAAAATTTTGAAAAGTCATAACTTTTTTTCTATTATAGATAGAAAGCTGAATCTTTCACTGAAAATTATCCTTTTCAAAGGACTACAATCCCTGAAAATTTCAGCTCATTGACACTTATAGTTCCTGAGATAAAATCGTGCTAAGCAATTGTGGTGATTTATCAATTTTTCAATTTTTCTGAGTGCCTTTTTTCATAGATTTTGGCTTCAAATCTGAGAATAATTTAGTTTATGGAGTTCAGGGTATAACGAGGGACCATTAGGACACAAAATCTCGACAAAAAAAAATTTGAAATTTCATCGTTTTAGTAGGAAGGTACCCCCCTTATGATTTTTTCGGAAAATTTTGAAAAGTCATAACTTTTTTTCTATTATAGATAGAAAGCTGAATCTTTCACTGAAAATTATCCTTTTCAAAGGACTACAATCCCTGAAAATTTCAGCTCATTGACACTTATAGTTCCTGAGATAAAATCGTGCTAAGCAATTGTGGTGATTTATCAATTTTTCAATTTTTCTGAGTGCCT